CGATTAGGCTTGTGTGGATGGATAGACGGTATGGTGTGGGTAAGAAGGGCGAGGGAGATATATAAATAGAGAGATAAATAGATAGATAGACTGAGAGATAGACATATGTAAATAGATAGATAAAGAGAGAGAGAGAGAGAGAGAGAGAGAGAGAGAGAGAGAGAGAGAGAGAGAGAGAGAGAGAGCGTGAGCATGAGAGAGAGAGAGAGAGAGAGAGAGAGAGAGAGAGAGAGAGAGAACGTGAGAGAGAGAGAGAGAGTGAGCGTGAGCATGAGAGAGAGAGAGAGAGAGAGAGAGAGAGAGAGAGAGAGAGAGACAAAGAGAGAGACAGAGAGAGAGAGAGAGAGTGAGCGTGAGCATGAGAGAGAGAGAGAGAGAGAGAGAGAGACAAAGAGAGAGACAGAGAGAGAGAGAGAGAGCTTACTATCTATATAATAGAAACTCCTATCAATGAAAAACAACATTAATAATATTAGTAATCAGAATGTCCCGAACTTAGCCATAATAACAATACTGATAACAACAATATTAATAATAATAAATACATTTTACTCTTTCGTGGAGATCGACAAAAAAGACGTTTTCACAACATGTACACAGCATGGAAAAGGAAAACAGCCACAGTAAGAAATGAAACAAAAATATGTATGTATGTATATGTGCATGTATGTATGTATGTATGTGTGTGTGTGTGTGTGTTATATATAAATGCACAACAGACTCCACGACCCGTCTGACCTGAGGACGAAGTCATAATCCATAAGACACGGCGAGCAGTGGCTGTAGTAGGTCCTCCAGTGCTCGTCCTCAAACTTAACGTCGACCACGTACTGGACGAACTCGAGGAAGGTCGGACCCACGGGACTGGCGAAAGGATTGTTTCTCAGGACCACGGGCAGCCCCGCCATCACCTTGTTCCGGACTTGTTCTTGTAGGAGGCCGAGCTGTTGGAGGTGGAGAGGGGGGGGGGGGTGTAGATGGAGGAGGAGGGGGGGTGTGGTGGAGGAAGGGGTAGTGGAGGGAAGGGGAAAGAGTAAATTCAAATTATAATATTGTTTGTGTTTTTTAGTTCTTATGTGAATTACCTCTTACGGTAAAAAAATTATATTTAATAAGTTTGTCTATAAGCTACCAAGCTCGGGGATTGTATGCTTATCAAATTATACGAACTTTGACAAAAAAGACAAAAAAAGCAGCTTTCCCTATTCTCTTGGCAATTTGTTTAACAATCCTAAACCTATCCTAACAATCCTTAACTTATCCCAACAACCCTGACCCTACCCTCAACAGCCCTAAACCTATCCTAACAACCCGAATCCTATCCCAACAACCCTAAACCTACCCTTAACAACCATAAACCTATCCCAACAACTCTGACCCTACCCTCAACAGCCCTAAACCTACCCTTAACAGCCCTAAACCTATCCTAACAACCCTAAACCTACCCTCAGCAGCCCTAAACCTATCCCAACAACTCTGAACCTACCCTCAACAGCCCTAAACCTATCCTAACAACCCTAAACCTATCCCAACAACTCTGAACCTACCCTCAACAGCCCTAAACCTATCCTAACAACCCTAAACCTATCCCAACAACTCTGAACCTACCCTCAACAGCCCTAAACCTATCCTAACAACCCTGACCCTACCCTCAACAGCCCTAAACCTATCCTAACAACCCTAAACCTATCCCAACAACTCTGAACCTACCCTCAACAGCCCTAAACCTATCCTAACAACCCTAAACCTATCCCAACAACTCTGAACCTACCCTCAACAGCCCTAAACCTATCCTAACAACCCTGACCCTACCCTCAACAGCCCTAAACCTATCCTAACAACCCTAAACCTACCCTCAACAGCCCTAAACCTATCCTAACAACCCTAAACCTAACTTTAACAGCCCTAAACCTATCCTAACAACCCTAAACCTATCCCAACAACCCTGACCCTACCCTCAACAGCCCTAAACCTCTCCTAACAACCCTAAACCTACCCTCAGCAGCCCTAAACCTATCCCAACAACCCTAAACCTACCCTCAGCAGCCCTAAACCTATCCCAACAACCATAAACCTACCCTCAACAACCCTAAACCTATCCCAACAACCCTAAACCTACCCTCAACAACCCTAAACCTATCCCAACAACCCTGACCCTACCCTCAGCAGCCCTAAACCTCTCCCACCAACCCCCCCACAACACACCCCAACGACCCACCTGTCCCTCGCTGATGTACTTGGGGAACTCCCTATAGCGCCGGACCATTTTCTCGCCGTAGCGCTTGTAGTAATAGGATTTCTTCCCGTACTCGAACTTGTCTCTGAAGCAGGAGAGGAGGCGCTCGAAGGGGTGGCGGACGATCATGAACCTAGTCGTCCTCCGGGCTACCTGGAGGAGGAGAGAGCAGAGGGCGTGGGTTAGGTGGGCGGGCTGTGGGCGTTGTTGAGGTGTGGGCAGAGAGAGAGGTGATGGTGGGAGGGGTGGGGGGACAGGAAATTGGAGAACGTCGGAGGCGGAGGGTGTGGGGTGGGGGGGGGGAAGAAGGGGGGGAGAGGAAAGGAGGGAAAAGGGAGAGGGAGGGAGGGAGGGAGAGAGAGAGGGGAGAGAGAGAGAGAGAGAGAGAGAGAGAGAGAGAGAGAGGGGGGGAGGTGCAGCTTGTAAAGACGCAAATATAAATTTTAAATGTACTATACTTTGTATAAACACTCACATTGTCACATGCGGATGCATATGTACATACATACATACATACATACAGACATATATACATACATACATATGTACATACATATATATATAAATGTGCATATATCCATAAATATACGTAAATATGTATATATATATATATATATATATATATATATATATATATATATATATATACATATATATGTATATATCTATACATAAACATACACACACACACACACACAAACACAAACACACACACACACACACACACACACATTCACACATACATACGTACACATACACCCTCCCACACACCCAAGGAGAGGAAGAGACCGGATTCAGGCCACCTACAGAGCCTGCGCCGTCCACCCCAGAAGGACAGAAACGAGTTGGAGAGGAAGAGAAAGGGAAAGGACAAGACACAGAGAGCGAGAGATAGATAGATAGAGAGAGAGAGAGCGGCCGTGAGCTCCTCTCTGTCCCAGCAGTGTCGAAACAAGAAGAGAAAACCCGTTTTACTTGGCTTTACGACAGGGAAAGGAAGACCAGTCCGCTAACCTTGGATCTGCCATATGAGTATCGCTTAAAACTTAAGACGCGATTAGGAGAGGCAGTCTTGCGTGGTGGTGATGTTGGCGATAAGGAGGACTTAAGTTATCAATAAAAAAAGTTTTATTACTACTAATAATGACAAGAGTATTAATAACCTGATTTACATTAATGATGGTGATAACATATAAACCGCAGCTTCCGCTACCACCACCAATAACAACAACAACAATAATAATGACTAATAACAGAGCAATAAACATACTCATACCCACATATCCACATATCCACGTACCTATGGAGGAAAGGGTGAGGTTGGATTCGACTGAGACACTATACACCGCATTAAATGGGCAATAACGAGTTAATGAGGAAGAGAAAGAGAGAGAGAAAGGGAAAGGGAAAGGGAAAGAGATAGAGAGAGTGACAGAGAGGCTCAGCAACAATGATAACATAAATAATAATAATAATAATAATCTTCTTGTTTTGTTGTCGCTTTGCCCTGTTCTTATAAGAGGTCGCTATACAATCTGGTTATGGCAGATAATAATAATAGTAATAATAATATTACAAATAGGCCTCCTCCACCCAGGGTTGTCTGGAACAGAGACAACCTGGTGGACATTGTAGCTCATAATAATAATGATAATGATAATAATGATAATGATAATAATAATAATAATTGTAGTGAATTTCCCTTGGCTTCAGGCGGGTCCTCCCGCAGGCCTCCGGGCCGCCTGTTCCCCTGACGTTACGGTTGTCTGTATAGATAATCTACGGACTCCTCCGCCCTGCAAGATGACGTGGTTTTCCTGTTTTTCCTGTGTTTATTTGCTTGTGTCTTTTATAAGAATAAATCTGTGTTTTTATACTCTTTGATTTACCTTTCTTTGGTCCGTGATCTACATCTACATCTACACTACTTCTACTATACGTAACACTACTTGTACTTACCTTATGTTCCATACTTACCTTGTCTTATTCTTGCCTTTTTGCCTTCGACTATTTCACCTTAGTTCTGTTTCTCTCTTCGTGTTTTCCCGTTTTCCCTCACGGATCCCTTCTTTCACGTTTTCATACTTTCCTGTCTATTATTTATTTTATGTGCCCATTTTTGTATAGTTTTATTATTCTTTTTATTTTATGTATTTTAAAGATTATTTTTAACTCGCCATACACTATTTAAGAAATTAGATCAAATGCATTATGGGTAAAATTTCACCAAGCGCGGGAAGCCACCAGCATAAAAGGGCAAGCCAGGACGGTCAGAGAGAGGCTTTATCTTGTGTGGTGACAGATCGTTGGATTTTTAGCTGGCTGACTGGTGCTTCTCGTGCTGTGGCGGGTTGCCTCTCTGTGTACCAAGTAAGTGTATGGTGTGTTGTCATGTATATTGGTTATGTTCAGAAAGATTTGTGCGTAATAAATGTATAATATGGATGCTCTTTTTATGTTGCCTTCTTAGTCAGCCAGTGATGTTCTTTTATTGTTTTTTTTATTGTGACTATGGGATCACTTCCAAATCACCCGAGAGTCATCATCCGAAATACGCCAAACCCATTGGAGATTACCTGTAGTCGGATAAACACGCTACCAAATTAACATCTCTAACTCTACGGAGTTTTGATTATCCACTACAATAATAATAATAACAATAATATTAATAATAATAATAATAATAATAACAATAACAAAACGACAATAATAATAATAATAATAACAAAGCAACAACAACAGCAACAGCAATAATAATAATAATAATAATGTTTACCTAAGTGCAAGTTTCCCATTTTCCAATTCAGCAACTAACACCTACATGAGGACAGGCATGACGTCAACCAACATGAAGTCTCATTCAGTCCCGTGTGTAATTGAATGTATTATCTCATTAATATAACTATTTAAATACTCACAAGAAGTAATGTATTATATCTACACATATTTCATAAACAAACTAAATAATCCAAACAGAAAAATCCAAAAGGACTAAAAAAAAATAATAATAATAATTTCAGTAAACACAGATTTCACCAAACTCAAAACACGCACCGAAGCAGCAGCTCGTCCATCATTAAAGGAGATTTTACTTCCACAATTAACGCTAAACACTCATCCGCCAAGGGAAGTGCGTGACGACCAAGTAATCCTGAGCGTGGGAAAGGAACCGTAAGGAACAGCTGACGACAAAACAGCTGATGCAGAAACACTACGCTGGTTGGGGCTACTACATCATATGCTGTCGGTGATATGTTAGGGTATGGGGTATGGGGCATGGGTTGATGAGGGTTATCGTGTGTATGTGGGTGTATGGTATGAAATAAATGTGGGTATGTTTAAATGTGTGTGCCCCCCAATCCCTTGCCCGTTGTTGTCGTGGGGGGCTTAGGAGGCGGAGACTGGGACCCAATGATGGGGAACTCCCCAACCTTGGGACTCAGCCCTCGACTCAACTAATTATGTATGGTCTTTTTTTCCCTTCCCACTTTTGTTTCTGTCCCTTCACCAAACCCTTCTGCTATCCACCTCCTAAGGTGTGAGAGCCGTGCTGAAAGGATGAAAGGCTGACTTTGTGCCAGTCCTGAACGGCCTGAGGGAGCCATGGGCACGGTATTCCCCTGATTTAGTTATCTAGCCCTTACCCCTCAAGGGGACCCTGAGGGGTGGACTGTTTTTATCCCCAACATAATCCAGGCTTCCCATGGCCAGTAATGAAAATATATCTCCACTATTAGGGGCAATGAGGCTTGCCCCTTTATCAAATAGCCCCAACGAAGTAAACCCACCTGATTCCCCGACCCCAGGCTCTCCTTTGACCACGGCTCCGAACACTGCAATAACTACCCCTTCACCAATGCCTACTAGTACAGTAGCCAATAATCAACCCTCAAGGAACATTTCCACTCTCCCAGCATGCCCAACTTCAACACCTCTACCCCCACAACCTCCAACATCAACCACCCCATCCTCCCTTATTAATACCTTACAGCCTTATAGCCCACCTCTCCATAACACTACCTCCATCAACACTACTCCATCCTCGTCACGCCCTCGCCCTTCTACCACCCCTATCTCTAAAACAATCTTGAATACTCTCTTCAGTGCAGCCAAATGGGACCGATTTTTCGTGATCCCTCCCACAGCTCCCTACTCTGACAACACCCTTCTCTTCCAACAATGCCTCCAAAAACAAGTAGGTAAAGTCTCTTTCCGTAGCCGACCCGACCGCTCCCGTCTTGTAACAGTAACATCCGAAAACCAAGCCATAGCACTAACAAAACTAACTGACCAATATGGTAACCCCATCCTAGCAGAACCCCATCCAACCCTAAATACTTGCACCGGAACAGTCTCAATCTCACCAGCAAATTGCCCAATCTATGACAAAGATTGGTCAGATTGTGGAGAAGATCTACTTGCCTGTCTCACAGACTACGATGCAACATCAGTACAATGCTACTCCATCCCCCCCAGAGGTCATCGAAAGAAACCCACTAACATAGCCAAAATTACCTTCCGTAGACATGACCTTCCCTTTAACGTCTACATAGGAGGAGAATCCCTCCCTGTTCGTCCATACCAACCTCCTCCACGTCAGTGCCAAAATTGTTGGCGTCTAGGACACCCAGCCAAACACTGCCGTTCCACAGCCAGATGCCCATTATGTGCCCAACCTGGCCATACCCGATCTAACTGCTCTGCACAATCACGCACATGTGCCAACTGTGGCGGCCCCCATAATGTATTTTATAGGGGCTGTCCCACCTACAAATTTGAATCTGAGGTAGCAACTCTCAAATTCAAACTTGGACTCACACTGCGTGAAGCCAGACAGGAAGCACGTCGACGTGGATTCTCTCTTACTCCTTACTCCAGTAATACTGCTCATTCTAACACTTCTCCTAAACCCACCCCTCCTACATCTAACCCCCCCACTTCTACCTCCTACCTTCCCCAGTCTAACTCTTTTGCTATCCTAAATCCAGAAACTCCAATCTCTAATACAGATACTCCAATCACCACTACAACCCCAACACCTTCCCCTCTCCCTCCTCGCACTCCCCGTAACAGACAGAACAAACGTTCCACCCCCTCTTCCCCTACCACACAATCACCTCCACCATCCTTTGCCCCTACTCTTGAAACACCAGTCCTCTCTTCCCCCCCTCACAAGAAATCCTTTATCCCCCACAACTCCCCAACCAACTCCTCAGAAGAAACTATTGAAAATATTCAAGATTACTTAATGCAAACTGACACTCAACCTACAACCCCTGCTCCTTCCACACTCCAAGTAACTGCTGATATCCATCCCCCTCCTAACGATATCCCCCCTACACCCTATCCTCCTACCCCCTCCCAACACAGCCCATCCCCCCCGACCCCGACCCCAACCCAGCCCACATTAACCCTCCCACCATCCCCTCTATCCCTTCCACTCCCTCCTGGATACACACGTGAATCCCTTATGTCACAAGTATCCCCTTCCTCAGACCCTCCATCTCCTAATACCCCTCCTGATAGAACACCAACTCCCACATCTCTCCCATCTCAAACCTCTCAGTCCTTATCCCACCCTCTAGCTGATTCCCCCTCAAAGTCTCCAACACGTACTGCAATCTATATCACTAAATCAACGAAAGTATAACTATCCTTCATTGGAATATTCGCGGTTTCCGCTCCCACAGACCTGACCTTCGTCATATCCTTTCCTCTTATAACCCATCTATTGTATGCCTTCAAGAAACCTTTCTTACACATCCTCCAATACCAATCCCCAATTATCATTTTGTCTCTTCCCCACATTCCCTTTATGTCTCGTCTATACTTATCAATCAGAAAACACCTTATGTCACACCACCCTTTCAAACCAATGTCCCTTGTACAGTTATTTGTATCTTCCTTCATCGTTGGATCACAGTGATTTCAGTCTACTTCTCCCCTTCCCACCCCATTGACTTTGTTGCTTTTGAAAATCTAATTTCCCAACTTCAACCACCTTTCCTCATAGTAGGCGACTTTAACTGCCGCCACACTCTTTGGGGTGATTCTATTACCAACTCCCGAGGCCGATCTCTAGAGCGCTTCCTCTCCACAGCTGACCTTACTATTCTAAATTCAGATCGCCCCACACACTTTGATACACGCACACAATCTTTTTCATGCATTGACCTCTCTCTATGCTCCCCTTCTCTTCATATAGATTTCCACTGGTCAGTCTTAGACCACTTTCCCTATAGTGACCACTTTCCAGTTCTCCTTTCTCCTACTTCATACGTACCACTTCCTAACTCCCCACGCTGGTGCTTTGATAGAGCCGACTGGCATACTTTCACTTTGCTCTCTGCTATTCATACCCCTCCATCCTCCCTCACCTCCATTTCAGAAATGATACAATGTTTCACAACTACAGTCTTAAGAGCTGCACATACAGCTATCCCTCGAACCTCAAGACCATATACCTCTAAATGTGTTCCATGGTGGAATTCTGATTGCACTAAAGCACTTCGCTTAAAACGTGCAGCCTGGAACAGTTACCGCTACAAGAGAGGTACTCCAAATCAACTATCAGCCCTTATCTCCTTTAAAAGAGCATCTGCCTGTCTTCGTCGTACAATCCGGAATAGTAAAACAAATAGCTGGCGAAATTATGTTTCATCAATTACATCCTCTACATCTATCTCAAATGTATGGCGACGAATCCATAAACTATCAGGCAAACATCCCCCCCATCCTGCCCCCATCCTCCATATTCGAGATACCCTCATTTCTGATCCTCTCCAAGTCGCTAATGAACTGGGTGATTATTTCAGCCAGGTCAGTAGTGGCTCTCACCTTTCTCCACACTTCTCTTCTATCAAGACCACCAGAGAACGTACCCCCATTACCTTCACCCCATCCTCCGCTGAGTCCTATAATGCCCCATTTTCTTCCTCTGAACTCATTACTGCCCTACAATCGTGCCGCAACACTCATGAAGGCCCTGACGGTATTCACTACCGTATGCTCCGGCAACTCCCATCTTCCTCCTTATCCTTCCTATTAAAAATTTACAACCACATATGGACATCAGGAAATTTTCCTTCTAATTGGCGAGAAGCTCTTATCCTTCCCTTCCTGAAACCCAATAAATCGGGTATCCTCCCTCAAGACTATCGCCCCATCGCACTAACTAGCTGCTTGTGCAAACTATTAGAGCGAATGGTGAACTTCCGCTTAATGTGGTATCTTGAATCTCACAATCTTCTCTCTCCTTCCCAATTCGGTTTTCGCCGTGCCAGAAGCACAGCTGACCCCCTTGCTCATTTTGAGACATATATTACATCCGCATTTGCACGCCATGAATCCGTACTAGCTATATTTTTTGATCTAGAAAAAGCATATGATACGACATGGCGGTACCATATTCTCCAACAATTGTCCTCTCTAGGCATACGTGGAAACATGGGTGTCTTCATAAAGTCTTTCCTCTCCCAACGCACTTTTCAGGTCAAAATTGCTTCTGCCACATCATCTTTCTTTCCTCAAATCGAAGGTGTCCCACAAGGCAGTGTGCTCAGTACCACTTTATTCCTTCTAGCTGTTAATGATATTGTCTCAGTTTTACCACCAGGAGCCCGGTCATCACTATATGTTGATGATTTAACCATCTATGCATCTGGCACATCCATACCAAATCTCTACCAATTTCTTCAATCTGCAATCTCATCAGTATCTTCCTGGGCCACAAACCATGGCTTCCGCTTTTCTATCTCTAAATCTTTTTCCATCCTTTTCTCTCGCTCACGTGTAAATCCCCTACCCCCACTCTTCCTATATGGCACTCCACTCCAATGCCGTTCCTCTGGCAAATTCCTAGGCGTCATTTTTGACTCCAAACTGACCTGGCGAGACCATATTCTACACATTAAAGAAAAAGCTCTCCGCCGCCTTCGAATTTTAAAAACTCTATCCCATATATCATGGGGCTCAGATCGCAAAACTCTCCTTCATCTTCATGTTACTTTGATCCTCTCCACTCTTGATTATGGATGTCATATCTACTCCTCTGCCTCAACTTCTCTCCTTGCCCATCTTGACACAATCCATCACTGTGGTCTTCGCTTAGCACTAGGCGCCTTCCGCTCCTCTCCAGTTGAGAGCCTGTATACTGAATCAGGCATACCATCTCTATCTCGACGTCGTGCCCTGCTCTCACTCCGATGTTATGTTCGTTTCCACCAACTTCCCCTCACTAAACTAACTATCCCACAATCCCTACTTCCTACCTTAGCTTCATCTCCACGCTTACCTACTCCTTTCTCCACTCGCATGGATACCCTCCTCTCCCATTCCCCTTTCCCCCATCTCCAACCTCTCCCGTTCTCTGTCCATTCCGTCCCTCCATGGCTTATACCTCACCCCCATATTTGCTCTTCTGTTTTCCCCGACCCACCAAAATCAAATATTCCTCCTACTGTCCTTCTCATCCATTTCCTTGACCATGTCTCCACCCATTCCTCTAGTATACACGTATATACTGATGGCTCCAAATCCACCTCTGGTGCTGGTTTTGCAGTAATATTCCCAACTCGTACTTTCAAATACTCCCTTCCTCCTGAATCCAGTGTCCTTACTACTGAACTGTATGCACTCCTTTTTGCCCTAAAACACATATACTCACTCTCCTCTTCCTCTTTTACAATTTTTACTGACTCCCGTAGCTCATTAACTCTCATAAAGTCAATACACAGCACCAACCCCCTTGTTTGTAAGATCCAGAACTGGTTGTTCTACCTGTCCACACGCCACAAAACAATCAAATTTTGCTGGGTGCCCAGCCATGTTGGAATCCCCGGCAATGAACAAGCAGATACACTAGCACGCCACGCTGCTATGTCCACATCATACCAACCACGCTTCTCACGTATCCCAGCCACGGATTATTACCCACACTTTAAGACCTTCTTGTATAAACGATGGCAATCTTTCTGGTCAAGCCTCCACACTAATAAATTACATTCTGTAAAACTATCAATCTCCTCCTGGTCAGCTCCATTTCATCGGAACAGACGTTGGGAGACTGCTCTCGCCCGCTTACGCATTGGCCACACCCGTCTAACACACTCCTATCTGATGTCACAATCTGATCCACCCCTATGTTCCTTATGTAATGTTCCCCTTTCAATCGTACACATCCTATTGTCGTGCCCACGTTTTGAAGCAGCCCGTACCTCTGCTTTCCCCCACCTATCCTCCCTTCACCGACCTCCCAACCTATCAGACATCCTTACAGAATCCCACACTTTCTGCATCAACAACCTGTTCTCTTTCCTCAAACGCATACATATCCTTTATCTAATCTAACACCCGACCTTAACCCTTTAACTCACCAATTCCTTTGCCCAGCTTAGACAACTAATCACTAACTCAACCACCTTTCACTAACATTAACTATAGTGCTACATGACCTTAGATGTCTAGCACATTTATCTTGCTTTTAACCATTAACCATTAAATGTGTGTGTGTATTTATGTGTGTGTGTGTATGTGTGTGTGTGTGTGTGCGTGCGTGCGTGCGTGCGTGCGTGTGTGTGTGTGTGTGTGTGTGTGGTGTACGATTTCCTGTAAATTAACTCATTATCAATCTCTTGACGTACATATGTGTACGTGTCTATACACACACGCAGACACGAGGGCAGTACATGAACACCCACGTTATCTCACAGTGAACCTCCACGAGACGTTATTTTCTAAGCTCCGTTATCCCAGCACTTTACATATATACATCAACATTTCCTACTTCTTTCCGCATATCACCATTTCGAAAGACCCTTTGAAATGTAAATAAAACCCCCTTTACCCTAAAAAAAACAGCTATCCCCTACCCCCCCCCTAAAAAACAAAACAAAAAACAAAAAACATAAAATAGGAATTAAAAAAGGGTTTTTGCATCAGGAGCTCACCGCGGGTCCAGCGAGATTCGATTTGGGGTACACTTGGCTGACGAGTTTCTGCAAGGGAATGTTCTTGGGGCGCTTGTATCCGCCGATTTCGAGGAGGGTGATGATCCAGGAGGTGCTGGCGGCCTTGTACACCGGGCAGAACGTCAGGAGGTTTATTCTGTGGAAGGAAAAGGTGTAAAAGGTCAAGAAAGTTCTCGGGTTAGCGCGTGGCAGGTCCCTTGCCTGCGTGCGATTGTGAGATGATGACATGGATTATGATGTGGGGGATTGCAGACGAGTATAACATATAAATATGGGGCCATACTTTCTCTCTCTCTCTCTCTCTCTCTCTGTCTGTCTCTGTCTCTGTCTCTCTCTCTCTCTCTCTCTCTCTCTCTCTCTCTCTCTCTGTCTGTCTGTCTCTGTCTCTCTCTCTCTCTCTCTCTCGGTCTCTCTCTCTCTCTCTCTCTCTCTCTCTCTTTCTATCTTACTTTCTGTCTGGCCATACTTTCTATCTGCCTGTCTGTCTCTTTCACACACACACACACACACACACACACACACACACACACACACAGTCAACGCCCACCTGTCGAAAATAAGATTGTGTATATCCACGAGGCCGGGCGGCGGCCCGCGGGAGTCGAAGGAGGTGTTGGGAACAGCCAGGTGAGGACACGTCGCCCTCACGTGGCTGACTCGCCGCTCCTGCTCAGTCAGGAACTTCCGCAAGGGCTGTGGGAGGGGACGGACTTAATTAAGGTGTCTAATTCATATGATATTTATTCATTTATTTTGGGGGGTTCTTCTTTTTTTTTTTTTTTTTTTTTTTTGGGGGGGGGGTTGGTTTATTCATATTTATGGAAAAGGAATCAAGAAATGGATGTATTGAGAATTAGTTTTTTTTTTCCGTTTCTTCGTATTTACAGAAGTAACCTATTATGTTTACTGAGGTGCAGTATTTTGACTCCTACGTGTTTCTTTCACTCAAGTTGAACAATAACGAAAAATAGAATGGAACCTACTTTATATTACAGACTAAATTTTCACACATATCTTAATAGAATAAGACCTACTTCGTAACTCTTATATTGCAGAATAGTAATTACAATTAGACTCCAGTCAAGGCAATATTGGAAAGGCAGCATCGACAAAACCCTCGCATTCCTCACCGACTTCTCGGGAAACCCGAGCGCCCTCTCCTTCAGCACCTCGCGGGAGAACTTCTCATTGGGCGGAGGTCTCGCGTCACGCCCCTTGCCGGAGATTCTTGCGGGGTAGTCCTGCACGTAGGAGTCGTGCTCCTCGCCGTCTGCAATGCCCTGTCGCACGTACGAACCTCCCGCCTCGTCGATTCTCCTCGAGCTGTTCGTCTTCGAAGCTTCGCCGTTTCGCGAGCTCGGGTTTCGTTCCTGTTTCTCCCCCGTGCGATATCCCGGATCACCCGTGTCGTTTCCCTTCGGTTCTCGTTGGTTCTTCGCGTCCTCCTGGGCTGCCTCGTCTCCAGGACCTCCTTCCCCGGCGTCCTGTCGGCTGGAATTCACGGCGTCCTTCTCCCCTTGCGACGCCGCCTGGCTGACTCGCAGGTCGTACTCCTTGAAGGGATCCGAATACGCTCTCTTACTTAACGCTCCCGCTGGTTCTGTTTTGGACTGATTCTTCGCCGACGGAAGGCCGTGCGTCGCTGACACCCGGAAGAAGTGTTGGCTGACGGCGGAGGGCGACAGGTTCAGGAGGAAGAGCGTGAGTGTCAGCACCAGCGTCAGGAGGGCGAGGCTTCGCAGCCGGAACTTGAAGATCTTCATGGTCGTCCTGGAAAGGAAGATCGGATTTTGAGTGGATTGAAGGCGCATTATTTCTCTTTGTATTTATTTATCTGTTGTTTAAATGTACCTTTTTTCCCTCCAGTACAAGTGTATTTGATGATTTCGTACATTGCTGTTAATTCAGATACCAGATCTGCATTGTATTTTTATGTAATTATCTGACGCACATTATCTGACGTGTGTGTGTGTGTGTGTGTGTAAGCTATATATATATGTGTGTGTGCATGTATATCGAAGCCGAATTTCAGTCGATGTCGGCTTTGGCATTATTGACTTTTTTCTGCCTGGGCTACGCTTTTACGCCAGTTAAGCATTGTAGCTTATAAGTGGTAACTGCCACTCCCTGTGTTGTGTCGAAGCTGTGTAGTGTCGCTGGAGTGAGCCGGAGTCCATCAGCTGCGTGGAGAGAGGTAGCTCGCTGCATGGACAACAGCTTGCTCCTCACATTCCTTCGCCCAGGTACTGGCTCTACCGTCTTTCTATAAGGGTGTCTTCCCCCACTGGAAAGGACACTACAGCGACACTTCCCAAGCGTCGGCATAGAGCAGCAATTACCAGTTATAAGTTACAATGCTCAATTGGCTTATACATGTATACGCTCTCGCTCTCTCTCTCTCTCTGTCTCTCTCTCTCTCTCTCTCTCTCTCTCTCTCTCTCTCACACACATACATATAAGCGCGGAACCGTGCTCATTGCGACGGATGTAGAAAAGGTATGAATACGAGTGAATAGCTTCACAGCACAAAAGACGCATTTGACTGTTTTCGATTATAACTTCGTCAGAAAAATATACATTTGCGAGAATACAAAGTATAAACATGTCAAACATGAGCAGATATTTGGGAAATACATCACCATGATGGTTTATGTAGATAAAGTGGGCATCTACCGATCTGGAAAGAAGCGGTAGTGACCCATGGAGGACTGAATAAACAAAAAGTAAAATAGTTGACGCTGCATACATCGCGACGGAGGAATATATAGACAGTGCATCGGACAGCTTCAAATTATCCAAGGTCGTGGCAACATTTATGCAGATAACGGCGACAGGTCACGGACGTCAGGAGCTTTTTCATTTCATGTCAGAAAATAAATATATATATATGTGTGTGTGAGTGTGTGTGTGTGTGTGTGTGTGTGTGTGTGTGTGTGTGTGTGTGTGTGTGTGTGTGTGTGTGATTAGTAATTTCGCTGATCAATGTATTTATGGCTATAGTCGAAACCTCTTGCAATGAAGATTCTCATTTTCATTCACACTTATTCAAAACATAAGCACTATCGACAAAAAGGTCGACCTGCCAAAGACACGCAAATATATAATCAAAATAAAACACACCAATCCAAAACATATATCAATAAACATAAACACACATTCCCATTCACACATACTCCCCTATGTGATATATAACACATATATAAACACATAAATAAATATTTAACAGACTGTACACCTACATAAAGTCCCATGACTAAACAGAATGACAATCTCACGAGAAACAAAGCAATACAAAATACCACGGTAAACCACGAGAGGCAAACACAGTTCCGGGGCCTTTGTTGGACCGGCACACACGTCGCTCGGGAAGAAACGTTTACATTTGGCTCATAAGGGAGCAGGCCATGTCATGCACATGGGAGCAAAAAGAAAGGGGTTGGCAAGCACATGCATGCACGCCAGCATGTACGAAGATATAGCAAACAGTGTCTCGTGTGTGTGTGTGTGTGTGTGTGTGTGTGTGTGTGTGTGTGTGTGTGTGTGTGTGTGTGTGTGTGTGCATTACTTCCAGTAAAAGTATGTAAACAAAAGAATATCTTGACGTTTGTTCTTTTTTTTTTTTGTTTACTTTCAGGTCATATGACAGAAAGAAAACATCATATAGGTAAATGACAATGTAATAACGATGACTATGACCAAGAGGATAATAAACACTAGATAATAATGATAAACGACGAGGATGGTGATAAAAATAATAACGATGATACAGACGTTCGCAATGAGGATAATAATACCTTTTAAAACAACTAAAACACAAAGAAATCAAGGCAGAAAACTGACATGCCATTCCCTTCGCTGGCAACTCAGCCAAAGTATTTTCATGCTCTCTTAGTAACAGCGACCTAGCGATAGATAGGTAAGATAGATGGTTAAAGAGGCAGAGAAAGATTGTTGTACACGTGTGAGTGAAATAGATGACGTGGTTTTATATATATATAGAGGCAGATAGAAACAAGTATATAGATCAATAAAAACACTGAGTATGTTAAAGTGTGTTTAGGTAGATAGATAGATAGATAGATGGTTAAAGAATCAGAGAAAGATTGTTTGTACACGTGTGAGTGAAAGCGATGACGTGGTTTTATATGCATACGTATACAGAAAGAGGTATATAGATCAATAGAAAGAATGAGTTATATTAAAGTGTGTTTAGATAGATGGATGGATAGAGTTAGAGAAAGATTATTCGTACTTGTGTGAAAGGTGCCGTAATTTTATATATACGTGTATATATAGGCAGACAGGAAAGAGATACAGAGCAATAGAACGAATTTGAATATTCCTGTGTGTTTACATAAGCGTATCCACTTGCCTGTTAGTATATACGTTCACTTAAAACATTTCTTACCCACGGGATCCACACGGGCGCTATCTCTCACAACAAAAACCGAACTGACTGTCTCCCCCTCCTTGACCTTAGTATCAAGTCAATGTTTATTAGCGAACGATTAATCAAAAAATTCCAATCTCCCAGCTACCCTCCTTCTCCCTCTCGTCTCCCTCTCTCGTGGTTTATTCCTGGCAGGTGAAGTAATGGATCCCATTGCACTCCCCTCCCCCCCCTCCCCCCTCCAAAAGGTGCCAGAGGTAGTTTCCCGACGACAGGTGTTCTGCTAATAGTAATTTCCTCGGTCTGCCAACAATGGTTTATTGGCAACAGTAGCAAGCATATGTCAGCAGTTACTTCCTGACAACATATTACTAAGACTAGGAAGTATTTTTTTCCGAATAGGATTTCGTGGCTGTTGGCAGTAATACCCTGACAACGGTATCAACTACTTTTCTACGATCATTCTCAGGCAACGCATTCAAATGGCGATTATCAGCTACTTTTTGACAACCTCCCAGAAAAAGATATTTACAGCGAATTTCTGAGAAAAGTAACACGTCCTTGCCAGCTTCAAGGCGTGGAAATTTCTCACTATTCCATTCCGCTGATATCTTCTATCTTTTTTATGATCATTATTTTATTTATATATTCATTTTCTATATCTACGTATGATAACGGAATATCTGTACTGGTTTGTAGCTTCATGTCTTTTACATATTTGCACTTTTTAATTCTGTGTAGTCAAATTGCCGGCTTTCAGTGCTTTCAGTAGATTTTAATAATGTTCAATCAAATACTGAATTAAATATCTTAATTCATAGGAATGTGCTTATCAGACTGTAAACGACGTAATGTGAGTTATGAACCACCCATGTGACTTTTGTTTATTTATTACCTTCGCCAAGG